GATAATCCCTGGTCAGCTGCCGACGTGTTAGCCGAGAAGAAGAATGGGACCCAACATTGCTGAGTGGACTTCAGGGCTTTTAACAGTATAACCGAAAAGACTCATATCCACTGCCAAGAATTGATGATACTCTTGATGCCCTAAGTGGAACCAGGTGGTTTTCAACTCTGAACATAAAATCTGGTTTCCATCAAGTGAAAATGGCTGAAGCAGATAAACCTAAGACTGCATTTAGTTATGGCCAAGGTCTCTGGCAATACTGTATGATGCCATTCAGGCTTAGCTCCAGCAACATTGGATAGGCTGATGGAAAGAGTACTAAAAGACCTACAATGGAGGAGAGCTCTAGTGTACCTGGATGGTGTCATTGTGTTTGCAGCAACATTTGATGAAGAAGTATCCAAACCTTTGAAAGCAGGAAACCTCAAACTCCATCTCAAGAAATGCCACTTGTTCCAGAAAGAGGTACTTTACATGGGTCACATTGTAAGTAAGCATGGTGTGCGAACTGATCATGACAAGGTGAAAGCAGTACGTGATTGGCCAACACCAGACAATGTGGGAGAGTTAAGAAGTTTCTTGGGACTCTGTACCTATTACCGGAAGTTTGTGAAAGACTTTGCAACTACAGCTGCTCCACTACATGATTTGACAAAAAAAAATGCCAAAAGTTTGAATGGACAGTTTCTTGCCAACATGCTTTTATGACATTGAAAGAAAAATTAGCCTCAGCTTCACTTTTAAAGCTTCCAAATCCCTCACTGCCGTACATACTGGATTGTGATGCTAGTAATGTCGGAATTGGAGGAGTGTTCTCTCAGAAAGTGGTTAAAAACGAACATGTGATGGCCTACTTCAGTATGATCTTGAGTAGACCAGAGAGGAACTACTGTGTAACATGAAGGGAACTCCTTGCTATAGTAAAGAGTCTGAGATATTTCCATCCTTACCTCTATGGGGCTAGGTTTACCATTAGGACAGACCATGCTGCATTACGCTGGTTAAAAATCATTAAAGAACCCACAGGGACAACTGGCACGTTGGATCAGAAAAATATACCAGTATAATTATGATATTGAATATAGAGTAGGAAAATCTCATGGAAATGCTGATGGACTGAGATGAAGATCCTGTAAACATGACTGCAGACATTGCTGCAAAAAGAGGTTGAACTAACCAGGTGCCATCAAGCTGAAGTCAAAGTGACTGAAGGAGTTGATGATGGTGAAGTGGAACCAAATATAGATATTAAAGCAGAACAGCAGAAAGACCAAGATTTGAAGCCAATAATTGATTTTCTAAAAGCAAGTGTTTTGCGCCCTGCTTTGGAGAAGGTGTCTAGCTTAAGCCCTGTGACAAAGAATTATTGGACACAATGAGACCAGTTGAAGCTTGAAGATGGTATTCTTGTCCGGAGATGGGAAAGTGACGACCTGACAAACAGTTATACCGAGAAAGTTACGAAAGAATTTATACGGGAAATAAACAAACAGATACATAATAGTTTGTTTGTTGGATTTTGCACAAAGCTATTTGCAGGCTATCTGCGTTAGCATCCTTAATTTACAAGTGATAGATAATCAATAGTCAGTACCATCCACCTCCAATTTTTGGGCTACTTTAGAGAAATTGTGGTATTGAGTGTCACATAATATTGCCCCAACCACTGATAGGTCGAACATATTCGGTGATGAAATTCGAACCCGTATCCCATTTGTTGAGAGTCACGTGCCTTTAACCAACAGGACATACCAGTCTATCATATTAAATATGTAGGTATAATAAATCTAATTAAACTTAAAAATTTTGTGACGAAGTGATTTGTAAAGAAAGCCATTAAAATTTTTAGGTATTTTGGAAGTAGGTTATACAAAAATAATCTAAAATTGATATTGTTACGCCTCCAGTCGTTACTTTTTCTAGAAAGAGGTGGCATGATACTAGTCACGTGACCTCGCTGACGCAACAGAATAATGTGGAAGTAAATGAGTAATTGAATGTATGCGGACAGAATATTGTTGGCCACGTGAGACGTGTGTTATACGTTGTTATAGAGCGACTGTTGGAATTAAGTGTATTGTAAAGTTGTATTCGGAAAAAATAAACCAGTTTTATTTAAGAAAGGACTTGTGTCGCTAAAGTTTAGTCAGAAAGAATTTACGGAAAATTCTATACAGTTGTAGTAGCTTACACATTGTTTTTGGGTAACACAGGAGATCATCTACAGGTGAGATAAACATACTTTTGTTTAAAGATTTGTAAGAGAAACATGAGGTCAAACATTACTTTGAAGAAAACCATAAAGTAATTACAGATCCTGTTTTGTCCTCCATCAATCTACATGTAAGTATCTCATCTTCTGAACTAAAGAAGTCACAAAAGGCCAGGCAATATATGTCTTCTCTAGTATAGGGTTACAATAAGGTACACTAACATAAATACAAGATTTGAGGCTAACTTTTACTGGAACATGATTAGTAAAGGCCACAAAACCTTTTTCCTGTGTTATTAAGTAAGATAAGCACTGGAGTGAAGCTAACATTTCACATTTCATACTCTGGCTGAAGCTATTGCATCATTCTAACTGTTTAAATGGAGACACAGGAGCTTCTAACAAAGTCTCAACAGTGGAAATACATGAAAATACAGCACTTAACGGCAGACCTTGTCCCTTTGGAACTTCAAGATGACCTCCTTGAAATTACTATAAAAACTCACAAAAACATATTTTTTACATCTGATCAAACATAAGTTCAAGATACCTATTCCCCCACTGATGTCATACTGTACATTTAAGTCTTCAATTTCATGATGTAGTACCTGTTGTTTAGGTTCCATAAAAATCCAATAATCCTGCCTTCAGGTATGATATCCACAAAGCAGGGGTACACTGCTAAATATGTGATATTTAATAATAAAATCAATGCAAAAATAAAAAAGGAAAGAAAACTCAAACTAGAATAATGGAAATAAATTCAATTGTATTATACAAAGCAACCTTCATAAGAATAATGTTTGAAAACAAAAAATACACAAGTTTCTAAAGATGGAAAAATAGATTAATGTATTGTGCAAAAGTGAAACTCGGTTATGTAATGTTGTTTACACTTAAAAAATACAAAATCAAACCTTTTTAATATAAGAAAAATATTTACAAAACAGACTTTTCATGAAAGTTTCATCATTAAGTTTAAAGAAATCACAATAGTCATAAATCGGATGTGTAACACGGAAACGTAGTTATAAAAAAAAAAAAGGAGTTTAAGA